GATACTGAGACATTGCAAGGAGAGTGCACAATTCATTTCATTTTTTTTTTCGTTATCGAATCCGAGGTAGCGCCGTGGAAAGCTAACGCTAACCGAGTCACCGAGGGCTTACGTAATGCATAATTTTGTTATGGATTTATGCCTTTAAATCATGTATAAAGAAAGCGTATTATTTGTTCCAACATATATATCTAATATTTCGGATAAAAGGTAAAAAAATTAATTACAATTTACTGAGAATCAGTTCTTTTCAAGTGATCCAACTGGCCAACAGACATGATGATAAAGAAAGTACACGATTTTGTAAACGTTTCCCTTATGGGTCAACTGGCATTAGGTGCTTAATATATTGTGTAACATTTGCGTTTGTCTGTCAACATTATTATAAGTACTAATTTGTATGTAGCGAGTTTTCTCTTTAAAGGAGACTTACATTTGTATCAACCTAAAAATAAACAAAATGTGTGTGATATTGTTATCAAAACTGTTAACAGATCTGAATTCTGTTCTATTCTTCCATACCAATGTTGCGAAAATGGTTGTATTTTCAAGATGTATATCTGTATATTAAAACGCAGAGAATTTCCGTTTAGAAAGAAAGTTGAACTTTCTACTTAACCAAATAATTTTGCTTTAAATTAATGGTAGTGTGTTTTCACTAACTTTTATAAATCGTTTGTTTGTTAAGACGTTCCTGAGAAGGATCCTGCCAGTCAACTTGCTAATTGATGTAAATGTAAACAGGGGTAATTGTTACTGACAAAACACATTGAATTTTTTTAAAAATTGTGTGTGTGAGTCGAAGCCGACTACATTTAGTTTAACATAGTCACTGTAATATCGACACGTCGACTGCTTTCGATAGATCAATTGGTAAAATCGTTAAAAATTCCCAATTTTGTTTTGTTTTGTTTTGCACGGTGTAAATTCATAGATGATATATAGTGCTACGTAGATTGTTTTATAGCAATAATTAAAATTTGTTGAACAGCATTTATTGCTTCTCTAGAAGTGAAAATCATTTTCCCAATTAAATCTGCATTATAAAAACAATTTGGCTGTTGGCAACAGTGGTGTGACGCCGCCATGTCTGTGTTCTGCAGGTGCCGCTGCGCCGCTGTCGCTAGTGTGCGGGTGCGCAGCGCCAGAGCGCAGCACCTGAGGAGTCGCGCGTTCCATGCCGCTGCCGCCATGGCTCTGAGCGCCGCCCGCAGGTGACAAGCCCACGCGGCCCTCGCGACCTCTCCACACGCGCACTGCAGGAGAGCGGAAAAAAGATTTAGCAAAGCAAACGCCTGGAAGACGAATACAAAAAAATGACAGACACGATTACGCCGGCGTTCTTGAAGTCTTTCAACAAATCGTGCCGGCGGTCGGTATGGTATTCTTAGGCAGTCCAAAATAACCGAATTTGTTTGTAATCTTCGTGTAGTCTCTTGATCTGAATAGCTCTTGCAGAAATTCCCCCAAAGAATTCTTTTCTGCGGTTTAGTGAGAAGACAAATACGGTACTCGCTGAAAATTAGATTTGAACCACAGATGCCATTTAAGAAAAAAAATTAATAATAATAATAATAATAATAATAATAATAATAATAATGGTTATTATTGTATATGAATGTTGTTCCGAATAGCTCCTTGATTAATTTTACATAGAAATACTTTTATATACCTAATCATTAGATGACTGCAAGTAAGCAATATTTTAGATGTTATATTGCACTTACGTTTCGTGGAGCATTGTGAGAGTTAATTAAATTTAACATCTGAATTATTGCATTCTCTCTATCATGTAATGATTATATCTCTAACGGTCTTATCTGCAATTCATTTGTAATATAAAATATTTATTATTATTATTATTATTATTATTATTATTATTATTATTATTATTAATACTAATAATAATAATAATAATAATAATAATATAATATCACCTAAATTCCCAACTTAAAATGATATGTGTCAATTAACATAAAATCCATTTCCAGGTTGCCATCAGCTTTCTGAGATACATGTCTGTCTAGTGACTGTCGGCGCCTTTAAGAATTCGCATATTACATCTTTTCTTCTAATATTTTGCTGGTCGTGTGCTTGCGTAGAAATGCCGCATGTCAAAAGGAGGACGTGTCTTCCAAGCGCACGTTTTGCTAAATCTTTCCTATTTTATTTGTGGTAGCCGACTGTAGATGGCTTTGCCATCAACGTCCATTCTGCAAAGAGGTGACAAGCGTCGGGATAGGGTTCATACTATCTCCCGACTCTCACCACTTACGCGTAGTTATCACAGGATGTAGATACGACTACAGAGCCCAGATCGAGTTCTCTCTGAACGCGAACAATTTCGCCTTCTTTTAACCCCAAGTACATTCACACTCTCCCTGTACAATGCTAGATCAATAAAACACAACAATAAACTTGTCTTTAGATAATGTGTTAGGTACACTAACTATAATGTAAAACTTTCATTCCGTAATTTTTTTATGTTTCTATCGTGAAATTATAGATTTCTGTAGATTTGGGTAAGTTTAAATTAGTCGTTATTTCCGGCAGCAAAATACAAAGGAATCCTATCAGGGGCTTGCCACACTGACGTTGTGTTTGCACTAATGTTATGACGAAATGTTGTAATCATATCAACATTCAATAATCACACGTTTGGACAATTCATTTCACTTATCATGTCAGTTCTACGCCGGAAATAAGGATGTAGTTTTGGTGTTAGTGTAAAGCAGTCGTTACGAGAGATTGGAACTGAAATTTGAAAATACTACATTTTCCACGCGCGTTCAAGGAAGTTTTACTGCTTCATATATTATGCATAATACGTTATTTGTCTGTAAAAAACATGTTTTATGACTAATGATGTTTCATTAACACATACATTTTCTTCATTCATACCTTTCTTTTAATCTCTTCCCAATTCTTCTCTGACTCTTCAGCACGCACACGCCTTGAGAAGGGCTTAGAATGCTTCACGGAGCTTCTAGGACGAAGTACTAATCGCCTCGAATGGCGCTTGAACTCGAAAGAAACCTCGTAAGTCGATCACACATTGAGCACGCATGTATGCGCCCAGACATATATGTCCATTTAAGACTCACAAAATTAGCAATTAAATAGTAAGTAGTGGGTAATAATTTGAGAAACCATCACTTCTGAATTGAATTGAATTGAATTTGCCTTATTTTACGTGGCGAGACTCAGGCCATCAGGCCCGCTCTTCCGTCTGACCACGCAAATTTCGCTACGCTCCTTTCACCAACTAGGAGAGAAAGGAGGTATTTCTTGGGCGAGAAAAAGGCGATTTGAATTTAGCTCAGAGGCGTCATTTAGGCTTGAGGATCTTTAACATGCAAGTAAATCTACGAACATGGGACAGCCGGCTTTACTTCCCCTCCGAAGGAAGGCGTACGAAGGATTTTTTCGCCCTTAAAAATCCACGGCTTCGATCGGGTTTGAACCCGCCAACTTGGGTACAACAATCCAGTACTCTAGCCGTTACACCATCGCCGCCGTCTGCTTTCGTTATTGCCATTTCTCGTGAGTATATGGACCATCGATATCTGCAGATGATACCTATTCACAGAAGGTGATGGTTCTCTGAAAAAATGTCAGACTTTCCTTCTTGTAGTTACATTCTGTATTAAATTTTGCGGTTTAGCTTAGTCACAATTACAGTAACGTGGCTTCTAAATAAAACCAATGGAATATTTAAGGGCACGTGCAAATCAGCCACCCGCCTGCAATGGGCAGCATTCATTATTTACAGTGCCCTGCGCGATGTACAATGACAGCTTTGTGCTATGCACTGCGCATTCTGCTCTATTCCCTATTTATTGAGTGGGCATCCTATTAATTACCTTGAAACGTAGCAGAGTTTTCCACTCCTTCAGGGGCAAGCACCAAGCGTTTACCCATATACTCACCACCCATCAGGCGTGCAGGTCCTATTCACTGAACCCAGTGCGTTACTACTCTGCATTGTTACTGGGCGCTCTGCTGTAGATAGTACACGAAAGACACTGCACATTATCTTAAGCTCTGCCTACTCTGCCACGCGCATTGCCCATCTGAACTGAGTGCTGAGCACAGAGTTTAATGCTTTACTAGCTGCGCCATGTGCGCTTTGAGTAATGCGTCATGCTGAGTGCGTTGCCTTTGTGCCGTTCTTTGTGCGCTGCCCAGTACGCGTTGGGCACCCTGAAGAGAAGTCTTTGCGCTTTACAATACGCACTGTGCACATTTTCCTGTGCGTTGCGCAACATCCATTATATGTGGTGCTCTTTGCTTTGTATGCATTGCGCTCTGTGAGCCGAGCACTGTTGACAGTGCTCTGCGCATTTCGCGCCATGCGCCATGTACTGTTGTATGTGCATGTACTCTGCGCATTGCGCGTTATATGTTCGGTACATTGCGCAGTTCGCGTTGTGACCAACACATTGTAGATTCTGAGAGGAGCTACTTGCTGCTCAGTTCGATACGCCCCGCACATTTTACGTTCGGTGCTACTGACTGTGCAGTGCGCATTGTGAACTGTACGAAACGATGTTCGCGTAGCAAACTCTTTGGTTCTGCGCGGTCTCTTTTGAAATGCCCATTGCACCCTGCGCTTTTCGCGTTCTATACCACGCACTGTGGACCCCGCACTGCGCACTGAGTTTCTTACGCTGTGCGTTGCGTGTAGTTCAGTTCGCAATGTGCTTAAAAGCTTCGCCGCACTCATTGCGTTGCGCTCTTCGCGCTGCGCAGTTCGTGTTGGGCACTGTACACTGAGCGGTGCGCCTTTGGAGTTGTGCGCTACGCACTGTGGACTCTGCCCCTTGTGCGTTCTGCGCCGTGCGTAGCGCAGTGCACTGTAGCCTCCGCGCGCCGCGCCCCGCGCGTCCCGCGTTCTGCGCCGCGCACTGTGCAGTGCCCTGGCAGCAGCGCGCGCCGTGCGCTCTGGGCGGTGCGCAGCGCGAGTGACGTGGCGCGTGTGCGCGCGTGCGCTTGCGCAGCGGGGGGCCGAGAGGGGGCGCGCAGCAGGTGCAGCAGCGGGGGGCGGCCGCCCCCGCCCCGCGCTGAGCGTCGACCGCGCCGCCCCCGCCCCCGCCCCCGCCTCTCCCTTCGCCGCCGCCGCCATGAGCGACTACGAGCGCATCCGCCTGGTGATCCTGGGCGGCGCGGGCGTGGGCAAGAGCTGCATCGTCAAGCGCTTCCTCTTCAACACCTACACCGACAAGTACCGCAGCACCGTGGAGGACCTCTACAACCGCGAGTACGACCTGGGACAGGTCGTCCTCAAGGTGAGTGAACAAGCCTTTCTCGTGCCCAACCCCTGCCGCCACGGCATCGGTGATGTAAGGATTTGCGTATCGGACTGTTATACCCAAGTTCGTGAGTTCAAACCCCATCGAACCTGTGGATGTTTAAGGGCGAAAAAGTCCTTCGAACGGCTTCTTTTGGAAGGTAAATAAAGGCGGCTATCACATGTCGTAGACTTATTGCATGTAAAAGGTACGCAAGCCTAAAAGAAACATCATAAAATTCAGATATCTCGTTTCGTCGTCCGAGTGATTCTCTGCTAAACGGTGGTCAAGCGGAAGTGAAGGCCCGATGGCTGAAGTATCGCTACTGGAAACACGGCTTAATTTGATTGAATTAAAACTATCTGTAAATACGTGATTCAACAGCAAACTGTGAAATTCACCCACGAGACTTTTTAACATGTGTACTGTATTGAGTTTTTATTACAAAGTTTCATCCTAAGATACGGCGATGAAAGATATTTCGAATTGAAATGGCAATGCCTTCTGCCCTCAAACACTTCATAATGGTTTGAACTACTTTTTTTCGCGTTAGTTTGCTTATGGGAAGGTTTTGCGATATGAGCACACCCTGCCGTTAGAAGTTGGCATTATCGTATCATTTGTGATATTCTAATGTTTATCGTTACTTTATATGAAGAGTGCGCCCAAGGACAATGGCTTATATAAATAGATAGTTAAATAAATAAATAAATAAATAAATAAATAAATAAATAAATAAATAAATAAATAAATAAATAAATAAATTAATAAATTAATAAATACGTAAATACGTAAGTACGTAAGTAAGTAAGTACGTAAATACGTAAATACGTAAACAAAAATATTTTGAAAACGTGATTTGTAGAATTTTGAAGGCAGTTGTGGCAGACCTCATTGTACCTCGTCTAACGAGAGAGCCGCGCTCCATGGGTATGGTATGCACAGGTGGACATCCTGGACACGGCGGGCGACATGCAGTTCCCGGCCATGCGCCGCCTGAGCATCGCCACTGCGCACGCCTTCCTGCTGGTGTACGCTATCACGTCGGCCGCGTCCTTCGCGTGCGTCAAGCGCTGCTTCGAGGAGGTGCGCGAGCAGCGCGCCGACTTCCAGGAGATCCCCATCGTGGTGGCCGGCAACAAGCTGGACCTGGCGGCGTCGCACCGCGAGGTGCCGCTCGAGGACGTCTCCGAGTGGCTCTTCTGCGAGCTGCCCAAGCTCAGGTGCGACAACCCACAGACACTCCCTTATATACACTCTCACGCGCTCCCCTTCAGAAACCTTGATAGGAGAAACTACTGATGAAAAACAGTGGCTGCAGGAATTGGACAGTGACTAAACGAAATCTGGTTATGGAGCTAGTGTCACAAATTCCACCACTGTCGGGATTCAAAACCCAAGATCTCCCTGTCAGAAGCCTTGCTGTGACATCAGTTGATGCCCTTAGTCACCTCAGACCGGTGGTAATATTCGGGCAGATCAACTTCCACTGAAGATGAAATCATAGACAATCCATGTAGAAATTGTGGTGTCAAAGCAGCTTCGCGGCAGGTTCTTTTGAGATCCTACGATTTCTCTGCTTGTCTTTCCACCCTCTCTCTATCATCATTGTTATTAACATTCTCATTTCCTATCACTCCCACAAAGCCTTTCATCCCTGCACAAAGGCAAACGACTAAGAATCTTAACAAGAAATTGTGCCCTGAAAATGTGATTAGAGACGGCTTGAGAAGAGGTACGACCTTTTCTCATGGCCCTAGGTCTGAATTAAAATATGTTTGTCAGCGGAGGGTAAAGCGCATGCGCGTGTGTTTGTGCGCAGGGCGAAGGTGATGGAGTGCTCGGCCAAGGACGACTACAACGTGCGCGACATCTTCCGCACGTTCGTGACGCTGTCGCGCATCCTGCCGCCGTCGGCCGAAGACTCGGCCGGCGGGCTGAAGCGGCGCTCCAGCGCCTACGTGAGCGCCAGCAAGGGCGGGCGGCGCGCGGCCAGCCCGGCCGCCACCGCCTCCTCCCGGGCGTCCGCGGGGGCGGACGGGGGCGGCGAGGGGGCGGGCGGGTCGGGGCGGGGGGCCGCGTTTGGGGCTGGAGGTGTCGGCGCGCCAAGCCGCGCTCCCGCTCGCTATTCGCCGCTCCAGCCGCAAGCCAAGGCAGCAGATGCGGGAACGCGCACGCGACGACTGCCACGTGCTTCAAGGAAGCGGCCCCCGCCCCCTTGGCCTCCCGACCCGCGCCCCCGGCGGCTTCGCCGACCGCTCCGGCCCCGCACCAGCCCGGCATCAGCCCCGCACAAGCCCCGCCCCCGTAGCCAGCTACAGGAGAGAGGACAGACGAATCAGTGTCTTATGTAGGTGTTTGGTTGGCGCCCCGGTGAGCAGGCGGGCAGGGGCCCCGCCCCCGGTCCCGCCGTCGCACTCGCCCGCCCGCCACTTCCGCGAAGGGGCCCGGCGCCCCCCCTCCACGGCGCAGCGGGCCCCGCGCGCGCCAGCGCCCCAGCACTTCTTTTGTGAAACTGCAAGTTTTAAAAAAATCTATTGAGCATATTCAGATAGTATATTATTATTACCTACGTTGTGAATGCCTTGTATATATATTTTAATTGGTGTTACTCGCAGCAATTCTGCTTACTTGAAGACAGAGGAAGTTAGCTAGGTTCTTTGTTTATGAGAAAGGGCGGGCTGCACGGGCCGGACGGCAGCGGCCCCGATGGCCTCCCTCGCCGCCTGGTTCTCGGCGCCGCCGCCTGGAGCGTCGCCGCCCCCTCGCCCGCCTCGGCTCCCGACCGTCCTCCCCTCCCGCGCACGTCCCTCGAATGCTCAGCGGGGAAGGGTTTCGCGCGGGGTGGCACTCGGGGCTAGTGGGACGGCGCGAAGGTTTCTCCGTACGGATCGTAGAAAGATAAGCGCGTTTAGGAGATTGAGAGCTCATCTTGATGTGCCGATGTTTTTTCTTCTGACTTCAATGTATGTTCACTGACAAGGAGCATGTCGCAATTTCTATTAACTCCAGTTATTCCAAATCATTGTCCGTTTCCCAAATAACTGAGATCGTCCCTTACATTGAATTCATTGTCAGTAAGCATAATAATTGCACTTTTCATGCCTTTTAGTGACAGTAATATTTGACGTTATCAAAGAAATCGAAGTACTGGAAACACAATACTCCAATTAGCATTTTTTTGAATGCCCAACAGATATTCGAAGACGTTAAAAATGAAGTGTTTGATTGCACATGCAGAATTGTGAACGGCGGCCAAAGGACTATAAATCAGCACACAACATAAATAATAGCTTACCACTAATAAATATTTTCCCAGATTAAGAATAAAGAACGATTATGTAAATGTTTATTATAAGTTCATTTAATGTTAATGTTGAGATGGTACACAGAATAAATTTTAGGACGTTGAGCTCTTCTCGATGTGTCCTTGTAAAAAGCTCTAATAAAATGTCGATTGTCAGTCTCTAGATCTCTTTAGAAGTATTTGTGAAAACGAAAGAGTTTAGTTGCTCTATTCAGATTTCAATTAAAAAATTCGACTTTTCAATTCGCAGTAGGAAATTATTATTTCGCCGAGAAACACGCAGACAACAATCACATCGGCCCCGTATTTAAATCTATAAAGGTGCCACTTCATCCAAAAGCCTTCCGTGAAATGAGGAAAGAAAATGCAGAACTCTCGCCAGACCTCTTCCGTAAGCAAAGACAACTGCCAAATCTCGATTTCTTCCATCTACAATTGGAAAATATCTCAGTAATGCAGAGATACGTAGGTAAGAAATAATTTTTGTCACCAATAGATGCATCTTAGTTTGACTCTATTGCAAAATTCTTAATTAGCTTGAAATTGATATGATGTAATTCAAAATCAATACAATAATTCGCAAACTCATGCATGTGTTATCATGCGCAGTTCTTGCATCGGCAGATGATGTTTTTTCAGAATGAAAACTGTCGAACATCATATCTTTCTGTTCTATCAGCAACAATTCGAAATAGGGTTCCTTTCCCATTACTGTCAAACCGCGCTTGTCAAACCAAGTTATAATAATACAGAGACTGCAAATGCAAAGCGTCTGCGCTTGTCTGCTGGAACGAACGTTCAGTTAGCCCGACTGTCCGGGAGCCGTCGTGACCTACAGAATGGTGTCAACAATTCATTCGATATTTTGAATCTCCCTTCGGAACAAAGTGCAGAGCGAACCGAAATTTTGCGATGATTTCGGATAACACGTCTTGCCCTTCCCCTTATCACCCGAGGCAGCCGGCGGCGGTGGCGGTGGCGGTGGTGGCGGCGGCGGCGGCATTGGAAAGGGCGGGGTCGCCCCCGGCGCCGCGCCGCCCACGCCCGTCGCTTCGCCCGCGCAGTGTCGTTGACTTGGGACCACGCGTAGACGGGGCCTACCCCACCCCCACCCCGCCTCTTCAACAAACCCTCCTCGATGTCTCTTACTCTATCTCTCTCTGCCCTTTCCCTTTGCTGTGTCGGCACTCAAGTTCGTAGTTTGGGGGTAGCTGAGTGAAAGCACGTCATCACGTCCCCAGGTGGACTTTAGATTCCTCGCGACGTGGTTGATCTTTCAAGAGACGTGTCCATGCAAACACAAAATATTGACGTGCTGTCTTTTTAGGCATCTGGATTTTTTTCATTTAAAATAAATGTTTTGCTTTGTGTCTAAATATCCGACATTTTTCATTTCAGTTGACTGACACATTCTTGTGTCCTAATTTGTTGAATCAGGTTCTTTAAAAATGTATGTATTTTTTGTAAATATTTAGCCTAAAGTGCACCTGGTATGTCCAGTGATGACGTTCTCCAATGGTTTGGGCACAAATCGTAGTCTTGTTGTCTCGTCTGTAATGGCTGTTACCGTGAAAGATATGTATTGTAGATTTAAGAACGTGTCGTGTAAGTCGATGAATTGGGAATGAGGTACCTGAAGCATGCGCAGTGTGAACTAAACGGATGATAAAAATCTGCAAATCTTACACGGACGTAGATGGTGCATGCAGAGTGGATTCTAGTAGTTGGCCGGCAACTGCGAGGATCATGGTAGCTCACGTCAATGGCCGGTGCTTCTAAATTGATCGCCGCCATGTTTAGAAATTGGAAAGTGGTGTAAATTTGAAGAGAATATTTTGAGCGGAAGAGCATGGCATAGAAAGAGAAGAATGGTTTCCTTTTAATTCTTCCCTTTAAGTGATATTTTGGTTGTTTCCGAAAACTCCCAGTTCTTCAAACGTAGTAATATTTTTCAAGACGCATTCTGCGATCGTTCATCTCAATGCTACTTCTAATTCCATGCGATTATTTTCTTTCAACCTCTAAGAGTGCATTCCTTAGACAAATTGTAACACGCAATCCCTTGTTCATCACATGGAAAAATCCAGTGAAGATTCAATATTGCGAGCTTGAATTACGAAATAAGACCCTATAAAAGAGTAATATATTCCTCAGCCTCTTTCCATAATGTCCTCTTATTTAACTCTTTTAACTTGCGCTTCTCTTGACTGTGGTCGATCAGAAGGCGTCAGATCCCAGATCATGGGCTTCAAGGAGCGTTTGACCCCTCCTTCATGCAGATATTCAGATGCCCATTGCTATTCTGTCAGCGCGAAGTGAGTGACCCTTGCTCTGAGGTCTGCTGCCCCTCACTGCCTCTTCAATCTTTACTCCTTGGAGACTCCTTTTCAGACCACGTCTTCGATATCTCCCGCGACTCTCCTAGAGAATCCACGAATATCCCCGTAGATGACTTTGAAAAGTGTGATGATCTCTGTTCTGGGATCAATCGTTTCTCCCCGATTCTGTCACCCTTCCAACTCCCCTTTGCGGATCGTCCATGAGACTCTTCGAGAATCCCGGAACACCCCTTGGGATCTCTCACAATCTCCCTTTAAGTTCCCGGCGAGACCCTGAAGTCATCTGTGCTTGCGCGTGGAGACGCCAGGCGTCCCGCTGGATAATCCTGGAATCCCCTCGCCCTGGAGTCCTCCTGGACCACTCTGGAGGCACGGGCGGCGCGGCCGCGGTGCGTCCCAGCCTCCGCACCGCTCCCGCGCCCCCTCCTCCCCCACCCACTTCATTCCTCCTCCCCCGCTTCCACCTCCTCCTCGACACAGGTGTTTCTATGTGTAATTCCTGTCGCTTGTCGCATTTCTCAGTGTTAAATGTTCCGTGTCTCGTGTATCAACAAGATATATCGTGCCTGTGTCCATATTTATCACTGTCCATTTTACCAAGGTAGTACCAAGGTAAAAAAAATTAAATAACAGTGTTCCACAATTCCAAATTTTGAATTGTTCCCTTTCGAGACGAATTCCAGACGTATAGGAAGTGTCTCGACCCATGTGATGGCCCGAACCAATATACAAGTTCTCAGTGTACTTTTGTATTCTGCACTTACATCTGAAATTTGTATGGTACTGTATTTTTGGTGCTTTTACGCAATTTTGCACAAGACATCACAAATGAATTAGAACTTGAAACATTCCCTCTACGTACTATTATTAATGACGTACAGGAAACGTTTGCTATTATTATTCAAAACATATTAACCAGAGGATCTTTCAATATTCGCCTTACATTATATTTGTCACTTGCAGCAAGAGTAGATACTTAAAGAAAAAATTGTTAGATATAAAAGTAATAATAAAGACCTTTTAAGTAGAATATACATTTCTGTTAGTATCCTCGCTATCTCTGAACTTATATCCGTACATGTTTAATGGCAAATGTAATATCCAGTAGTTTCCATTATAACTGTTTTTAAGAGAGCACTTCGTGCCTCATGTTTCTAGAAATCTGGTTTCTGCTAGATTGCCCTGCAATATAGGAAATTTATACATAGGCCAATCGGTGTACTCCTCCCCGGATCCGCTCTTGAACCGAGGCCTGCGTAGAGAACACCTGCAAAGTCGTTAAATACCTGCAAGCCCGACGTAGGTAACATTGAAGTCATGCCAAAGATGATGACTGCAATGTATATATAAAACTATAATACTCGACTCCTCGGTGTCAACGTCCCTCTCCATTTGAAAACAAAGGAGCCGATGTGCGGTGGCTACAAACCACGCGGCACTATTGCAACGGTCCCAGGGTTCGCGGGTATTTGTCGGTCGATGCTTTCGTCTCGTGTACATAGCTCCGAAGGAAACAAGTGGTGAGTGTTAACGGGTAACGTGTAAATAACTGCCATCACCCCCCCCCCTCGCCTCTCACCCACCGCCCGGGGGCAGCGTGCTTTGCGATGCGAGTCTCGGCCCTCTAGCCCGAAACCCAGCGGGCACTGCCCATTGGGCATGACCCAAGGGTAGGGCTGCGGCCCGCTGGTCGTCGGTCGCTCTCCCT